GTATCTGGTACGGCACCAGGGATCCGCATTCTTGTCGACTCACTCGACTTGAACCTGTTTTTCGACGCGCCAGGTTTTTCCGACGAGGTGCGATCGCTGGCGCGCCCCCAAGGTCTTGTTTTTGCGGCAATGCGGGACAGGACAGAACAGCGGCCGCAACATACAGAAGACCAAAACCTCGCGGTGATGGCTTTTGAAGAAAGATAGCTTCCGTACCGTTCTACGGTAGCGTACGGTACCTGTACGCTGAGTACGGTACGTTGTTCTTCTGCTCGTACGGTACGTACGGTACCAGGTACGCTACGATTCGGACTCGACACTCGACCCTCTCGTTCTACTGGATTCCATTCGCGAGAACAAAAGTGCAAAAAGCAACCCAACCAATCCAAGCCAAGCCAAACCAATCCAAGCCAATCCACGCCTAGCAAACCGAAAACCGGAGCCAAAGCATCCAATGACAAGAAGCGGCAGCTCACCAACGGATTCCCCCACGGTCCGGAGATCCTCCCGTGCCAGACGCCCGGTCACTACGATCTACGACTTGGCGGCGGCCAAAACAAACACCGGGCCGGACCGAAGAAAGAGGGACGTCGACGGCAGCAGCAGCAGCAGCATCGACGGGGATGAGTGAGTGGTGCCGGAGCGTTCGTTTCTTTGTGTGCGGTGTTTGTGTGTGTGTGCAGTATGGCGTGTGCAATCCGGGGGGGGACGAACCTTGCGTTTCTCGAAGCAACGACGATGTCGGAGGCAAGTTCGGACGGAAACCGATCCACGATGCAGAGCATGCAGAGCACCAGCCTTTGTATTTTCATTCGCATTCGAATTTGCATTTTCATTCGCATTCGCTTTCCCACTGACCCTCGCCCTTGCCCTCGCCCTCGCCCTTGCTCTCGGCCTCAGGGAGAACTACGGGGACAGCGGCGAGGACCATCAGGATTCCTCGAGCGAAAACGACAGCGACGAGGATGCCTCGGCCGCGAGGACTCCGGCACGAAAGAAATCCAGAACCACCGGGGGCGTGGCCACGAACCGGCGGCGGTCCTCTGCGGGTGCGTCCCCCGCCGCCCCGGCGAAGCGAAAGAATCCCGCCGCGGGGGGCAGGGGCAGGGCCCGSGCCGCGGGAACTCCCGGAGGAAGACGCTCAAAGACGGGCCCAAAGACGGGCCCTTCTCGCCCGGTGTCCACCCGGTCGGCCTTCACCAAGGCCCGCATCGCGCAGGCCCTCGGCATGCTCTCGAAAAAAGCCCTCAACAACCACGGCACGGACGAGGACGACTCCGGGAACAACGCCGACGCCGACGTCGACGTCGACGAAACCCCCGAGAACAGCCTCCTSGCGGCGCTCCTGGCCTCGGCCAAGCCCATTCCCGGGATCCCATCGACGGAGCGCCCCAAGACCTTTTACTGCCAGCAGCAGAGACAGCAGCGGCTGCAGCTGCWGCTGGAATCCCACGGGGAATACGGGAAGCCTCCCAACCGGGAGAAGCGCACGGCCGCTATTATGGGGGTTTGCCTGCCCCAGCTGGACGGGATCGTTCGCCACCTGATCGCCACAACGGACCAACACGGGGACAACGGGGGACCGCACGAGCTSCACGTCAGGCTCCTCAACCTCTTGTTTCGAAGCGTCGGGGGATCCACCCGCTCCAACATTCCGGAGCACGGCATTCCCAAGAGCCACGACAGCGACAACGAAAACGAGAACGAAAACGAGAACTACAACGAAAACAGCCATGCCTACACCGACCTGGACGAGCTCGAAGACAACGACTGGGACGATCTCGTCTCGAGAGTGGTGACGGTCATGAAGAACGAATCGGATGCCGACCAAACCCTTTTGGTGGTGGCCGACGACCACGACCACGACGACGACGACGACGAGGAAAWCTATCTCGACGGCGCACCCCCGGCGCCACCCGTCCTGACGACACGAGCCATCGGGATCGTTGTGTACAGGACGCTCTACAAGGAGTTCTGGTACCGGCTCGGCCACGTCCTGCTGGCGCATTCGCGTTCCCAGCCCCCACCGATGGTCAGCGACGAAGACGAAGACGAGGACAACGAGTCCGACGAAGACACGGGGGACAGCAGCGATAGCGATGCCGACAGCGATGCATCGCCCCGCAGAAAAAAACGCAAGGCCTCCAAACCGAACAAGAAGGCCCCCTCCGTCGGAACCGATGCCGCCACGCGGGGATTTTCGTCCGACCGCTTCCAGCTGGAAAAGGTCCGCGACCTGATCCTCCGCATGACCGAGCTGGTGTCCGTGGGACAGCCCGACCTGCGATCGGCGGCCACGACGGCGGTCTTGCAGCTGGCCACCGCCTGCGTCGAGCGGACCGTCGAGCTCCAGCAAAAGATCGCCGTCGCGGCGCGCCAGCTGAGGGTTGCTTCCCGGCAGGGGTCCCGGGACAAGCAGCAGACGCTCAAACACCGGCTCGACAACTGGAAGCGCCACAAGGCMGAGCTCGAAGAAATCGTGGAGGGACCAGTCTTCCAGGGGGTCTTCATCCATCGGTACAGAGACGCAAACGAGCGGATCCGGAGGGACTGCCTGCGGATGCTCTCTGGAATCTCCCTGATCCGGCCCGACATTTTTCTGGTCGACACCTACCTCAAGTACTTTGGGTGGATGGCCTCGGACAAGGCCCCGTCGGTCCGGATCGCGGCACTAGAGGGGCTTTCTGCGCCCTTGGCGGAAGCGCGGTGGTCGGCCCAGGGGGTGGCAAAGCCGCCCTTCTCCATCGACATACGGGCCATGCACAACGTCCTCTTCAAGTTCCTCGACCGCATCGTWGACTGTACCGGCGACGCCGACAGCACCCGGGTGCAAGAGATTGCCATCAAGACCATGCTCCGCATGCTCCGGGAAGAACTCCTGGACGAGTGGGACGACGACGTGGCCTGGGACAAGGTCAACCTCAAGGCACTCGATGCCCTGTCCTCTCCGAGGGTCCGGAGGGACGCTCTCTATTTTGTGATGGACCAGCTCGATCCCTTCGATGCGGACGACGACGAAGAACGCAAGACCGTCGGCGACCGCAAGCAATCGGACCGGTTGGTGGCAATTGCTAGGTGGTGAGTCGTTCCGGGGTGCGGGGGTCCGCCTCACACTGGTTTGCTTTGATTGTCGATTGTTTGTAACATTCCATCTCCCTTTCTAATCGTTGGTTTCTCTCTCTCTCTCTCTCTCTCTCTCTCTTGATTCCCTCCTTTTGCAACGACGACAAAAAACAGGTGCGCAAACAAGCTCTGCGACGGATTTATTCCGATCGACAAGCTAAACATTCAACTGGTGGACTGCATCGTTCATTCGATTCTGTCCATGCCGGAGCACCGAAGTCTCGTTCTCAATTGGCCGATGATCCTCCGGGCGATCCGGAGCGAGAACCCCCAGCAGGGATCCGAGACCGAGCGAGAAGATACCGCGACCCAGCGAATCCTCCTGCGGATACTGGCCACTTCCGCGGAACTCGAGCGCCAGACCGTGGCAGAAATCGAGAACCGCGATTCCACCATGACGGGGACGACCAAGGCGCTCACCTCGAGAACACGCAAGAAATCGTCCAAGCACGCCGCGACCGAGGCGAGCCTCGACCAGTTGTCCACCGCGCTGCTGAAAAACCTTCCGCACCTCCTCGAGCTCTTCAAGAGCGACGTCGTGTCGCTYCGCGACGTCACCAAGCTCCCCCCGACCATTGGCCTTTCGGCCCTCGGACTCCCGTCCCGGAAGAGCGACYTCCAAACCCTTGTCAAGACGCTCTGCCAGCTGTACCTCGACTCGACSGACGAACGCGTCCTGCAGAACATTGCGCAAACCCTTTCTCGATGGGTGGAGGGCGACCACACCCGGGTGTCGGAGGTCAAGATCAACCTGAAGCGATTGTCGCGTGCGATGCAGGACAGATTGATGGACCTCTTTCGGGAGAGCGATCCCCAGAATAACGAGTACGGCGAGAAGAGCAGATCCAGCCGGCGGCGCAGCAGCAAGACGCGTCGCCGTTCGTCTTCTAGCCAAACGGACGGTGCKAGCACCGCTGGAGGATCCACCATCTTTTCTGCCTCGCCACAGGCCGACCTGGAGCACTCCATTTCGTTGCTAATGCTTCGCTGGAAYATTCTTTTGATGCAGTGCCAGGCAARGTATCTCTTCGAGACCCCAGATGAGGACGAAGACGAAAACGAGGTGGACGGACTATTCTTCACTATATCCGAAGCCATGGGAAAGAGGCTCTCGGACAGAATGCCAACCCTCGATCGCGACACAAGCGACGATGCTACTGCCGTAACGACCCCTCCAATCTGGTCSGAGTACGATCCGGACGTCCACGAGGCAGTTTCCAGAACCATCGGGCGGTCGCTAAAAGTATTGCTGCTCATCCTATCTTACGAATTACACGATACGCTGATGGATCGGAAGGAATTCGAGTCCTCCGAGAGCGAAACGACAGACGACGTKGAAGTCGACGAGTACAGCCTTCCTGTCCTGAAACTAAGAGACAACCTCATAAAGCTTCTTGGTCTTTGTTTTGATCAACACCTTCCACGGATCGAGGGGGTGGCGTACAGTAGCGAGCAGCACGACTTTGCCACCGCGGTCCAAGCCGGYGCAGGAGAAGTAGCGTCGGACCTGCGGACTCTCTTTCCCTGGGACTGGTCGAAGGCTGCCGATCCGGTGCGCAGATCACTGGCACTGACTAACGGCGAGGACTTTACCCTGATGCTCTCCGGGTTCGCTCGCTGGTTTCAGTCCAGGGAAGAAGAGATTTCTGAAGACACGGACGACGCTTCGCCGGATTCTCTGCTGAGAGAGGCCATCCTCCCACTGGCGCGGGTGACCAACATGAATTTCGAGGGCTATTTCCGCAAGGAAGCCGCCATGATTATGCAGCACATTAGTGGCAGCGGAAGCTTGGCGTCACAGACCATACTCGCCTTGTCGCGCTCGCTGAAGAAGGTACGCTTTTTTCGGCACGGTCTGCGCCGCTTTTATTCATTTTTCCTTTCTGTCGCTCTTTCCTCCAGCTCTAAGCCGTTTTTGGTTTTGTTTTATTCTATGTTGTTGCGTCGTATTCATTACACCCACAGACCAACCCCGTTCGCATGCTCGAATCTCAGATGGCGTGTTTGCGGCTTGCTTTTGAAAACTGGTTGGATAACGARCCAGATATTCCTGAAGARACCTCGCCAWCGGAAGAAGAGCTACAGGCGTTCGAAGAAGCTGAAAAGTATCACTTTGATTCATTTCTTTCGATGGAACAAGTTGCTTCAAGGCTTTCGTCAACCCTTGGTGTTGCTGGAAGAATCAGCAACGCAGGTCTGAGAAAGTCGATTTTTGGTTTCATGAGAGAAGGTATTCGATACGCTTTTGATGGCATCGAAGGGAATCAGCAGGACGACAACCTGATGATTGGCAGTCGTTTGGCTTTCTTATCGATTCTYTCGAAGTAGGTTTCTCAATTCGTTGCATCGTTTCAGCATAGCTCCATTCAAGCCATCGTGCTTGGGTCGTTTGTGTTTTGATTGTAATTCTAACATCTCCGTTTCATTGCTTTCACAAAGATACGCAATCTGGATAAAGAAAGAGAAGGAGCATCTAGAACACGTTTCCGATTACCTGATCGAAAAAGAATCTGAACTTCGTCGTCACCCTGAATTCGATGAGGTACACGAGGAAGATCTGAACACGCTCGCCGACTTCAAAAAGGCTCTGGGGATTAAACGAGTCACCGAAATTTCCTACGAGACCGACGATGGAGCCTCTCGCGTGGATGCTGCTTCCTACTCAGTGGCTACGCCAACCACTACAGCCTCCGGAGGATCGTCTCGCCGCAGGGTTTCTTCTGCTACGAGCCGTGGGAGCGTATCTTCTCGTCGGTCCGGAACTTCCGTACAGAGCGAGTTGTCACCATTGTACGAAGAAGACAATACAATGGTGGGAGAAGACGACACAGAGTCGTCCCCGACTCAACAGAAACGGAGACRATCCCGTTCGCAGTCGAGCCGCAGAGAGAGATCGGGAAGAAGTGGTACGAAGGGCGCACACGGCCGAGAAACAATTCTAGAAGAAAACGAGCAAGAGAGCAGAGCTTAGAGATCGCTTTTTGGTCAATTGCTACATTTTCTTCATGTTCACTGCATCRTACATTTCTATTCAGAACACTTGTGCGAGACATCGTCTTCCCTGYTGTGTCGAATGGGATTTGTTGGTATAAAGAATATCGATTCTCGTGCAGCTGCACGGTGTTCTGTCGTGAGATAGTCCATCAAGATTTATTTTGTTTCGGCCGTTACTACMAGGGATAACTACTTTCTTTGAAAATATGATTGAAAACATTAAATATACGGTATTTTACATTAGGTGCATTCTTTTGTTCTGAAAGTGACATGAAAGTGATTTCCACTTGACCTAGTTGGGATTTTTCATTACCTCATCCTCTAATTCTTGTAACATTCGATTGGTCACCTTGATATTGAGGGCACAGGGAATCAGAATGTCAGGGCGGAGCAGAGTTGCGTCTGGTATTGTGTTCAGATAAGTCATCATCCCCTCAAGTTCGTGGTTTAAAAGGATTGGCTGGCTCAGGAAAAGAATCGCAGTTCCGGCACGGAAAAATATTTTGAAACTTCTCTCTACTAACCAGATGTCCCACATGTGACACACTGTGGCCGACGGCATTGACGGAAGATACAAAAATAATGTTTGAAACCACCCAAGGGCAAACAGTCCAACATTTAAATCATGGTGCTCGAAGTGATCAGCAAGAACCGGCAATTTGATTTGAATAAGCCGTTCGAAAACTCGACAGCAAGTCTTGAGGCACCGGAGCTCAGGCCAGTACATGTGCCGAAGGTTGTAACTCACGAAAAATGTGTCCATGATACGAACGATGGTCTCCTCCACTACGCGGTGAGAATCAATTTCTTTGTTCATAATCTCGATGTTTTCAGCATCAATCAGCAAATCTGTTTCTACTGATGAAGCAGTCGAAACAATTGCTGGCATCGTCCCTTTTGCTGCTCTTAGTCTAATCGTATCTTGAAGATTTCTGAGAAGATGGGCAACTACATAGTCCATACCCTGACAGTATCCAATATCTTCATAAGTAGCTGCCAATGAGTGAAGAATGTAACTGAGCTTGTTCTGAAGGTCTTCCTTGACGTCCGCCGAGAGAGAATTTCCACACAAARCKATTTCCTCCGTAGATTCGTCGACGAAAAGTTCAGGATCATTTATACTCCCCACGAAACTACCTTTGGGAGAAACTGCGCTCCAGTCACTCACGGTATCAGTTGGAGCGCCACTGGTGTCACTTTTCACCACCGATGTATCGCCATCGTCGCTGCCATCTTCATTTTCGCATTTCCAAGGTGGGGAACTTGTATTTGTAGATTTTCGTTTCACTTTTTGTTTGCGGAGATTCTGTTCTCCAATTTCAGGTATTGGTACAGGCTCCCCACCACCTTTTACACCACGTTTCATCACTCGACTTTGTCCCCAGGTGACTAGTGCAGCTACAATCGAATCCGAGCGGAACCTAGCTCCCGTTTTGTGCGGTGGCATATTTCCAAAGGAGCGTGCAACATCTCGTTGAATGACATGATGCCATTTTCCTTCTTCTGCTTCCCGTTCCAATGCATTGAGTTCGTCACACCCTGAAAAATTATTTTGGCGATTGGACACATCGCATTTTTCTAACGCAATCCACATCCAAAACGCTGGTCGAAGACTGGCATTAAGTCCYCCAATCCGAACTGCATCTTGCATTAGCGTGTGTTCATTCTCTTCCACAATTTGCCTGCATGAGTGATTCACCGCCTTCATACGGCATACAGTGACTGGGTCGCCGAGGAATGAGAGAACAGCAGCCACAATCCTAGGTGCCTCAAAGACACTGGCTTCAAAAGGGCTTGGATGATTATCAGGAAAGATGAAACGACGCCCAAAGTCCCTCTTTGTTTCTTCTTCATCCATGGATTCGAACGACTGCTTCACCACAATAGCAGCTGCTGTGAGAACAGTCATGTCAGCATCACATGAGGCTTTTACTTTATAGACGAATTCAATAAGGTTTTCAGCTTTTCCGCCCAACTTTTCAAACAAAAGATCTTGCGTCGTTTCAGTTGCCTCTTTCTCGGTTGTTTTATTCAACGATGACGAAACGATCATCGCCAAAAAAGGGTTGCTATCGCCGAAGGGAGAAGCCACTTTTGCTAGTCTGGAAGCCATGTAAATGAAGCTCACAAAGTTCGCCGCTAGATATTTGTTGGACAACGTCATCATAGCATCTGAAAGAATCACTGGTTTCAACAAAACTCGTTTTTGTTCTACGGAAGTTGTAGATTCGTCGCCAGAATCCCCAGAGGATGTAGAAGACATGGTCTTCGACACGAACGGATTTTCAGTATCAAAGGAACTTAACACAGATTCAGAGAATTTCAAGTCAGGCTTCATCTGTATCGAAACTTCATTGATACGCTCTGCCACATAACGGCACATGCTATTGAAATGCTGTCTATTCTCTAAGAGGCCGCGCGCAACCTCGGAGACATCAGTATCTAGTTCTAGAGCAGGTGGTTCTGTCTTGAGAACCTCTCTTGAAAACCAAGAAAGGATCTCACCTTTCGCTGATGTAGCRTTTTTTGGTGTATCTTTCTTGTCCRTACGAGGCGAGAACTGATATTCAAATGTGCTCGCAGCTGCAGAGCTCGCCATCGCAACTTTGTCAGCCATTTTGAAATCAGTCAAAATAGAATCACTACTCCTCTTTTTCTCGTTGAAATCATTTGCTTTCGTAGACCTACTTGATGCTTTTGGGGAGTAAAACATAGATTCTGTTTTTTCGCGGTCCATAGGAGGATCGTCGAATATCTCGACACTTAAAAGACGGTCCTTGGTGAGCCCAACATCGTCAGAACAATCTGACTCAGGAGTATCACTTCTTTCAACCACGTCCTTCTGAACATCAGGAATTAATTGTGCGGTCGACTGTTTACTTTCTCCTGAGAATTGGCCTTCAACTTCTGCTTCACATATATCTTTGCTATCTTGAGACGAACTAGGGATAGATGTAGAATATCCTACACTAGGTATCTTCGGGATCTTCGGCATTGATGACATCTTAGAATAGGACACTCCTTGATACAACATTCCTTGATCTTCCGACAGTTTTTTTGAGATCTCATCATCACTGAGTAGTGGAGTAAGATAAGAATCTATCAAGGGGAAGTCTTGGTTGTACTCCTCCTCTAGGCGCTCAACCAATCCCATCGCATCGGCCACCTCTTTTCGCCACAAATTATTCTTCGATTCATTTGACAACGCAGCTTCTTCATTCTTACGAATCACTTCCTGAGCGATTGCCGATATAGAATCATGGTCATGTGCCTTGTCCAATTGGCTGTTGGTATCTTCCGTTGAATCCGTCTGTTTTTTGGGAGACTCTGTTTGAACAAAATMATCATTTTTGCTTTGATCGCGATCTATTAGATCTGCTGTCATTACAGTCACAGCTTCTTGGGTTTCTTCTTCTGTAGATGATTTGGAGTTATCCATTTCTTTCCACTCATCTTCTGCTTCATTATCGAACATGTTTTGCTTAATTTCTTTTTCTATGGTGTTTTCTTCGATTACTTGAGCATCTCGACATGAATCTTGAGATTCATTGCATTCCCTCTCTTGCCGTGGAGACGGTACGGAAGAATTGCACACTGTTTCGGAAGCAGCGTTTTCTTGACTCTCGTCTACTACCTTGAAGTGGAAATATYCAGAGGATACATCACTCTTTTTTGTTTCTGAACTTTCAAGTTTTTCCTTCATTATCTTAGCATAATCCGGAGTTTTTTGTTGCTGATCTTCCCATTTCTTCATCTTTTCCTTTGGAGGAGGTGAAATTAATGGAACGACACCCTTTCCGCGTGAACTGGACTTTGTTTTCTTCTTYTTCGYCTTCCGCTTTTTAGGGATACCAGGCGGCGGTGGTGGAGGCGGCGGTGTTGCCATTTTCAGTTCTTCGAGAGTCTTGGGGATAACATACGATTCTTGAGTAGGAGTAGAAGTGTCATTGTCAAGAGACTGTTTTGGAATGCTACTTGTCTTTTCTGCAGTGGCRGCGGCAACCGCAAGAGTAGGGACATCKGTCGAAGAAACAAGGCTCCCATTTAAAGATGAGGAGACGTCCTCAACTTTTCTGCTATCCAACTCGTCTASTTCTTCTTCATTCTGATGGTCAACATATTCAACATTATCATCTCCGTCTTTGCTATCTGATTCGCTACTGTTGTTAGTAGAAGATTCAGAATCCTCGTCAGGTTTCACATTGGAATATKCCTTCAATCTATCTTCTAGAGGCAMACTTCCTTCACCTGTAAAATCATTCGCACCGTTCGAATCCGCAACTTGACGGATCAAAGGCTCGTCATCTTTTTGCACAATGCTCCTCTCAGCTATAGCCTTTTCTTCGGCCTCGTTGATCGCTTTTTGAGCTGCAAACAGCATATCACTTTCTTCCTCAGTGAGAGCACGATGTTTCATTTCTTCCTTCATCATTTCTACAAAATTCCGCTCGGATTCAATATCCACGTCAAGTTTTGAAATGGAAGTATTCGAAAATCCGGTCTCAGTCCCAGCCGCCCACGAAGATGTGTCAAACATATCGAACATGCCATCTGTATTCTTTTCCAGATCCGAAGATGTTTTGTCACTTGTGCCAYTCCTGTCACCACTTTCGTTSTTTTTCTCTYSRGAAGAGTCTTCTTTCACATAGGGATTCGAAAGCGATGCATTTGAAAAGTTGGTATCTTTTTCTGTCACCCATGTATCGAAAAGCATATCCATATCGTTGTCACTAGATTTTGTTACTGAGTTGACAAGGTTTGAAAATTGTGAATTTGTCAAGTTCCATGCACTCGCTGTTTGGGCAGCCTTGGATGATTGCGATGTATCAGGAGTAATTTTTCCTTCATCATCATTTTCCKTCTTCTCATTCTTGATTGAATATGCGTTTTCTTTCTTTTCAATTTCCGAACCTTCTTCCTTCTTTTGATTTTCAACGACATCGGCTTCGGCATTTGCATTGCTTGTAGGGGTAGGGGCAAAGGAATCGAGAATAGATTCAGTGGGCGATACAAGTGCTTTTGTAGGGGAAGGAATGAAAGAGTCAAGAAGGGATTCCGATGGCGAAGGAAGACAAWGTTGAAGATTGATTTTGTCGAACGGACCACCARTTGATACTTCTGATTCCATTTCTTCCAATTCCAGTGGTGGATCGCCGAATTCATCGACAATGACCTCGCCACTACGAGAWACGTGATTTGAAATAATTTTATCCGAAAGAATTGRTGTATTCGCATCGTCCTTCGGTGTTTCTTCGCATTCGTCAAGTAGCGTTGTTTTTGGTGTCCCGATGTGCGAAGTCTCCTCTACTGGTGATAATGGTCCACGATCTGCCACAASTGTCAAACCGTTCCCGCTATCCATAGCCTCGAAGTCTTCGAATCCGGCTTSATTTTCTATTTCATCGACCGTGGTTACGTTCAAGTTTTCAGATGCAATGTCCACAACTTCYGTCGACGGTTTTTCAGATTCMACATCGATCGGCTTCTGTTCTGTGGTGGTACTTTCATTCAAACTTTCACGCTCATTGTCYACGATTGCTTTCGGAACTGCATCAGTTTCCACCACAGACACCCTCTCTTCAGTTGTAGGTTCACACTGCGTATCGTCTGTARTGTCTTCATTCTTTGCTTCGGGTGCATCATCCGTGATTGTTGTCGACAATTCTTCAGTTTCGACTGCAGCGGTCTTGCTTGCACTGTTTCCTTCGAGTATGTCGCCCTCTGAAGATTCGCAAGGTGTTGCCRCCGGTTTTGTTGTCGGATACAATTCTTTCTTTGATTTCTTCATCTTGGTGCCGCTAGCTACCTGTCTCTTCTCGGCCATCAATCTCGAAAATGGGCTTCGACCCGACAACGGCCGAACGGAACTYGTCTTTTCCGTTGAAACRTCTTTTTTGGTCGAGGCAGATGAATCCTGGGAGTGACTCCTCTTTGGTTSCGCAACATATCGATTTCTCGACAGGGATCGGGCTCGAAATCTCGACGATGACCCCAAGGCAAAGGATGCTTTTGAAGTCTCCGGTGGATTCGAATTCACTGCTCGAATCGGTGGCCTTGAAGTACTTCTTGAGGCACTCCTAGAGGCCGCCCTAGAGGCAGCAGAAGTCGACTTCGACCCTTTCTCTACTGAGAGAGCTCTCGTCAGGGATCTTCCGGGTCTGCTCCTCGTTTTGATTCTTCCTGGTTCATCGCTGTTCCTTGTTCTGATTCTTCCTGGTTCTTCGCTGCTCTCGCTTTCGCTGGACGACGAGGGACGCACCTTCGACGACGAATTCGAGTTGTCTCTCTTATCAACAGAAGAGGCACGAGTTAGTGATCTTCCCATCCTCTTTCTGTGACCGTTCATCCTGCCGGTCAACCCTCCCTTGAATTCTCTCCTAACCGGATAGGTCTCACTATTCGACTTCACAGACCCCACTGAGTCYTGCGAGGGATTCGAGTTAAGCGCATAGAAAGTTGACTTTRCTYTTCTAGGAAAGGGGGTTTCGCTGGGAGCAGCCGAACTACTGGGAGCCTTCTCCTTCCCATTAGTTCTGTTGCTGCTACTGGTACTGCGACTACGGCTGATTTGTTTGTTGTTGTTACTGCTGTTGTTGTGACTGTTRTTAGCATTGGCAACAYCATCGTTGCTAGCAGTAGCGTCGATGTTGGCAATATGCCGTCGGAACTTATCTTGCTTCTTCGCCCGTTGGGTTATTCTCGACGACATGGTAATYTGAACTCTTCTTTAACCTTCGCTCTATTTCCTCCTGATTTGTTAATCTCTGCCGATATCTTATTTATGTTCTCTTGTATTCAACTACTATTAACCGACADGGTATCAGTCTGATTCATCGATTGAGTCTTCGTTCATGGAGTCGTTGAACCTGTAAATACTCATCCGAATAGAACCAATGTCGATGAAATGTAACGACTGCGTTTGGAAAAACACAGAGAGACACCATTCAAACCCACCGATCGTTGGATTAGCATGTGCTGTACTCACTGCAGAACATACAGAAGTATTTTAACGGATGTGTCGAAAATTTCTGTCTCAATTTTTTYAGCCGTTAGYACCGCAGAGATGCAATTGAAATGTTGACGGTTGGCGATTTAAAAAACGGAGTGCGGTTGGTCGCGTTGTGACAAYGMATTTACCGGTATTTGCGTACTTGTTCCYAGAATCATATTTGGGTTTCACCGGATTCTTGAAAAATTCTGGCGATTGCTGATCTGCCTGCTCACGGTGAAGAAAGAAATGAGGAATGAAGAGCCGCATTTCAAGGTACAGATCTAGTCTTTATGACTTTATRATGCAAACGACCTKTATGTGCCAGAGCTTCTTGTAACATACGAAGTAACTACCGTAAAGTAAGTTAGTCGTACGAGTCCTACGAGAACTGTCACTCGTGCGAGAGGTGAGATCTTACTGCCATTAAATGTCATTGCTCTGATCGTACTGTAACATTCTACCGCGAACAGGGATTTGTACCAGTTAAGGAGGTGACTGAGTACAAGAATGACTACGTAATCTATTTTTTTCTATCGGGATCTAGGAATGCGGAGAACAACTTCTCCGGTTTTGGTGCGGCTGGTATTTCTCTTCTTTAATTGTGGTCTGCATATTTTTTGTGATGCCGTTGAGCTCGTCTCTATTGCCAGAGATACGAGGCGCGGCGATTGCGCCTACGAACGGAAGCCACGATATGACGAGACTAGTAGTCATTGCACCTACTTTCTATAGCGACACCAGCGACATACGGTATCTTCTCGGACTAGAATCGTGCCGAAAAGCCGCCGAGTACGGGATAGAGTTTATCCTGGTCGATGCTTCTCCGTCTCAGACTATTCGAGACGSTCTTGAACAAGCCGGTCGCTCSGGTGGTGGTCATTCCTTCGTTCGRGTGCTGCAGCAATCATCGAAGGGAAAAAAGGGTGCAGCACTGAGAGAGGGAATATCCCATGCCGTTGAACAATTGCGAGAAGGGAGTGACGGAAACAACAACCAGCAGAAGCAAACAAAATCTATGATCGGATTTCAGGAACTAGAAAAGGTGGATTTGATTCGKCACTGGAAATTGATTGCCAGCCACGCTAATGAATTGAATGCGGACGTAGTCGTCCCGAGACGCGAGGACAAATACTTTCGTGAGTCGTATCCGATTGAGCAGTATCATTCGGAACAATTTGGCAACATGTTCTTGAATGCGCTAGGGRAAAAAATTGGATTCCCTTCGATCGACTGGCTAAATGGGCCCTTTGCATTTGAYGTTTCGATGGCGAATTCATGGCTTGAAAATGATGGAGAGATATGGGACGCACAGCTCGTGCCGATGGTAGATTGCTTCCTCAAGCACAAGGCTARTTTTGTGTCATTTGAGATCCCCTATGTTCATCCATCCACCATGAAGGAAGAAGAGGAGGGAAATGTGACCTTCATCGAAAAGCGACTGTACCAAGTAAACTCACTGACCRACAAAGTTGGAAAACTCATGAAAGATGCTGCAGTWGCGGCGACAAAATAGAGAGGATAGAAGTTGACTCAATCCAAGTTAGTAAAGMCAASAAGACCCAAAACGACTTCTGTCCGTAACACATCRRCSGCTATATTGAGTGAGAAATCAGCATGAATCGATGCAGATGCCATTAGTATRTCTTAGAGGTGGAGGCCATGGTAGGGTCATGATAGACTAGCAGTTCTACATGGTGCCTTACCTTCTCTGCCTTTGAATTCTTCCAAATAGGCHGAGAGTAACTTGTCAGCATCCTTGCATCTAGCTTCTTTTGCTACTTCCTTACCGATGTCTTTACTGTATCTTGGCCAACTGGCATGGCTGCCTTGAACTAAAAGAGACTCTCCTTGGGCTTGTTCTTGTTTGCATAGCACAGGAATTGCTGTTGGTCTGGATGGCATCTCTTGTGATAGACGTTGATGAACTTGACAATGCTGTATGGATTGGTCTCATCCTCCACAACCATTGGGAACATGTTATTCACAGTTGGATTGCTCAAACCAAGCTGATTCTCCCTTGTCAAAGGCTCCACTGGGAGCAATGATGACATTCCAATCACTCTCCATTTTGCTATGGGAGAAGCTACCATGCTTCATAAATTGCCATTCAAGGAAGACAATGTTGTCCCTCCCCGTGAGTCCAAAGTGTCTTCCAAGCTCCATTACCAAAGTCTTCCATGTCATTGAAAGACCTGTACATGCTTTTTTCAAGCAAGCTTGCAGACTTTGAATCCCCAAACTTGTCAAACTAAGCTTTGGTCTCTTGGTTCTCAGTGCGGGATCTATGGCTCTCTTCTTGATTTGTTCCTCTTTTGCTTGCTGAACTGTGATATTTCTTCTCTCAAGCTCTTTGCAGGTGTGCTTGACTTGTTGCTTTTGGTCCTCATTGCACTCATTGTCAACTGCTCCTTTTTGTATTTTGCTTGCTGTTGTTTTGCTTGTTCACCCCTACAAGAAATAGTGCATTTTGGATGATGCATATTTCTGCACTGTTTTCTATGTGAGTTTCTACTGCATTTTTTCAATGAAATCTGCTCCTCAAATTTTGAAGAATTGTACTTCTACTTGTAATCTGTACTACTGCTGATTTGTTATTCTTGAAAATAGTGAGCAACAACCACTGTTGAGGTGCATTTGCCGACTAGTTGCAAGCACAGCACACAAGTACATGTGTGCACCATTTTGTAGTAGTAGTAGTTAGTACTACTACTATTAACAAGACTAATCATTTTTTGTAACCATGATGTCACACCAGACTACAAGTACTACTAGTAGTAGGAGTAGTAGTAATAGTAGTACTGGGTAGTATTCTGAAGAAAAGGAGGGGCTCTCCATAGGGAAGGGTTTGGTTACATATACTGGTTACAAAATTCAGTGCAAGTGGTTTGTAACCAGCTTGAGGTGCATTTACCAAAGCAAAAAATAACAGTTGTTTGTTAGTGTTTGTATTTTTTGGTAACGCACCAAGTGAGCTTGGGTACATCATGTACTATGCGTTCTTGTGGATCAATTGAAGATATGTTTCACAGGGCATTCCAAACGTTAGAATTAAAATTCTTCCTAATGTAAGCTAAGCATTCCCATTGTCAGACTTAACATTTGGAATGTTAGTATATCACTGTAGGCCTTTGTAGATTCTGATATAATACCCATTCTTCATTTGGTGGTAGCACATTCTTTATTTGATAGTTTCTTTTTCACTAGCATCAAAAACAATAATTTTGATCTTCTTTCCACACTAAAAAAGAAGAAAAGGAGGATGACTACCCTACTCACATTCAGAATGTTAAGTAGAGCATTCAGAATACTCGTATTTATTGATGCAAGAAACTGCAGTGGTCATTTCTACAAAGGCCTACAGTGCTAACATTTGGAATATTAAGTTAACATTGGGAGCTTTGTTAATTCTAACATTTGGAATGTCATGTGAAAAATAATTTCAAATGATGTGTAGTGCTACACATAAAATAAAAATTGAAATTGCATTAATTGAGTTATTGGGAGTGTTACTAATTTATCATGCTTAATGTTAGCAGTGTTAGGCTACTATGCAGAAATGAGCACTACAGTTTTTGCTTCAAATTAACATCCTGAATGATCTGCTTAACAGTCTGAGTGTTAGGAGGGGAGGCATCCTCTTCTTCCTCTTTTCAGACCTACAAAGGCATGTTTTTGGAAGGTAGTGAGCTACCACATTGAACAATGAGGATACTATACATAAAATAACAATTGCACTTTCTTTAAATAAGAGGTTGAAAACGTTAAAATAAACATACTACCAAATGCTAATATCATATACAGAATGTTTATTTAACATTTGGAATCTTAGTACGGAGCAGGACCAACTTTTTTCTATGCATCAAGAATTTTCTCCCCTGAAAAAGTGGCAGTAAAGCTATCAACATAACCATCACAACCACAACAATACGTACAATGGAGGGTGGAAAGGRAACAGTTTTCTTGTTCCTCAAGAAGTCTTCAGTCAGTTTTTCCAGGTTCTTTCTGGATTTTGTTTTGAATAGACCATAGGATTGGTTGGTCTCTTGGCTAACAGCAGTGCTATTTGATATGCACAGATAGAGAATGAACCCATGAACTCTTCCTGGTCCAGAATCAATCTTTATCATAACACATCTTCCATTTTTGTCAGCTGCATGCATTGGGATAGAGAGGTACAATACTGTTGAAGATATACTTTTCAAATTCTTTGTCATCTGTGTCTGCTTTTTTGTTGATACCAACCATCACTGGGAATGAATGACACTCATCATCATACCTGAAACTACCACTAATGTTTTTGCAATTTAAAATTGTTGCCCTTGTTCCAAATTTTGGATGCTGAGGAAGGGCATCACAATATGCAGTAGAACTTGCGATGAAAGTGATTGAGACACTTGAGATAAGCATAATTCACCAAGATTGATAATCTGTTCCAACTACTTTTCAGAAATTTCAATTTCATGTGTGCCACCTGCAGTTGCAAGCCCAAGCTCATTCAAGTCCTATTTCCAATTGTCAAACTAGAACTTTGTCCAACAAGCACGGTGATCTTCTACTGGGTTCAAATTTTTCCTTCAGATTCACTGTTATTTGGTTCAAAACTGAATAATAGAATGCTTCTTCTCTACTTGCAGCAAATGACAACCAATTGTTGCATTCAATTGTTGAATGGGACACAAATAATCAACAGCATAGGCATCTCCATTGGCCTGATTGATCTGAACAAATGTTTTGATCGCACTGATGACCAAGTCCATTGCTTCTGGAGGAATAATGCCAGGTCTTCTTGGACCTTTTCTTGCAGGGGCCTCTCCAGATTTACCTTTGCACATGTATCTAAGCACAATTTGGTGGTTTATTTCAGTTCCATACTTGGTGTTGACAGCTTTCACAATTTTTGAAGCACTTTGCCCCATGCCTTCAGGGTCTTTCAATGCTTCTTGTTGGTAGTACTAGTAGTAAAGCATGGTGGTTGCCTTGATGTGAGCTCTTGCAACAAGGTTATCATGCTTATTTTTTTGTTCACAAGGTGCATATGTGCATTTTTTGACAGTGTCTTTGGCACTAATTTCTTCTTCCTTCTTGTCACTGCTAGGAGTGGTTCCAGACGTAACTTTGCCAGGAGCTGAGTGTTTTGAAACAGGCCAGGAGCCAGATGAGGAAGTGGAAGGAACAATATCAGCCGACAAAGCAAACAGGAAAACAGGGACCATGACATTTTCAATTTTTGGGGGAAAATTAGATTCCCAGGCCCTCCCTCCTGGTTCAAAAAATTGTGATCAGATTTGATCACAAAAAAATGTCATCAGAAAGAACAAAAAAATTGTGATCCATTTTTTGTGATCATTGCTTCCAGAATATCTCCAATTTTTCGACTCACGAATTACCGGGACTCATACATTTCGTAGGAGAACGCAACATCATCAGTTCGTGATGACACAACCATCAAAACAAGAAAGCCAATCAACTTCATCATCAATTTTTGGAAATTCGAAAACGCCACAACATCTGTGCTCTCGTGGCTGATGCTGTTATATTATTTCTAATACACCGTCATTTACAATCCCACAAATTGTAATCTTTCCTGTCTGACTTATGTGTAAATAGATCTGTTGTTTCGATCATTCTGAAAGAYCCTGAAAGCGTTGGTGGTGTGCGCTGACRGAATATGAAACTTATCGGGACGAGTAACAAGAGAGAACGAGTGCAGCAAGAAAGACGACAATCTTCGTTGCCTTTGTTCCGTCAGTCTGGATGTTTCAAACCGTGCCGTTCAAACAAAATCGATGGAGTTTTGAAAGTGTCGCTTTTATGGTGGACTTTGTTATTTATCAATAGACATCTATGTGAAGTCCTGAGTTTCCAATCATCATACAGGAGATTTCCTGTCTTTTCGCAACAACTTATTTTTTCTAAAAGACAAGCCATTTATTGCTGTTCCACATCTTTCGGGTCGTCGTCGACGTCGGTATTTAATGCACCGGTCCCAGATGCCGGATTTCTACCCCACGATTTCAACGTAACGGTTGACGCATACTGCTTCCGCCAAAAGGATCTGTCTGTACAATCCTTCAACATGGACTTACGAAGCGCAGCAAGAAGCGACCCCAGACGGGCGCAAATCATTCTAGATACGATGGAAGGCCTCTATCAAAAGGATCCAACAAATTCCAGTCTAGTGGAACCAAATGCTGTCTCATACATGACCGTTATTGAAGGCTGGTACCTTCACAAAATAGATCGAACACCCCAAAATGGTAGTGGCGGCGACAAAGGAAATTCAGTASCAGATGGTATGACGAAGGTCAACACGAGAGATATGGATGAGATTGCCGCAAAAGCGGAGCAATGCAATTTTACCAGAGCTGCAGCGTCTTCAGCACAAAGTCTACTGGATCGCATGATACAATCTGACCGTTTGAARCCGGGCGCCTCAACATTTCTTCTTGTTTGTCAGAAATGGGCAGAATGCTCATCTACCACTGATACCACAGGAGTATATATGGAGATGGCCCAATCTGTCTTAGATGTTTATGGCAAAACATTAATACAGGAAGGAGCAAATGAARCTCAACAASAAATGTCATCTGACAGCGGCAACATCCTCAGCAAACTTTACACTRCTGTATTTGAAGGATGGTGCCGTCTTATTGGCAAGGTCCCGCAGGCCATGGTTATAGCAGAAGCTTTGCTACAGGATATGGAGAATTTAGCACACGATGAACGGAGGCGACAAGAAGAAGGACCCGTGGAAAATAACTGGGGTGGCTCTAAAAACTCWTCGTGGTTTCATCGCCGCCGTGGATTTATTGGACCAAATACCCTGACATACTCAAACATAATAGTTGGGATATCTCAAAGCAAAAGACACAATATGGCTCSAAAAGCAGATGCAATGATTGATAGAATGAAAAGAAACGGGGTTGAACCAGATGTCGTTGTGTATACATCAGTTTTGAATTGTTGGGCAAAAGCGACCAGCCGTAAGGAGCGAGAGATGGCATCAAGACGAGCATTAGATATTCTTCAAGTGATGGAGGACTCTTACACAAAAGAGAAAAATTATTTATTGAAGCCCAGTCTTATTACATATACAACAGCAATCAAAGCTATTGGATATTCATTGGATTTTAGGGCTCCTGATCTTGCGGAATCTGTCTTGAAACGAATGTACAATTTGACTGAAAATGGCCTCATCCATGTTCCTCCGAACGTTGCAACGTATAATGCGGTTATAAATGCACTGTCAACAAGTGGGTCCAACAGAAATAAGAAAGGTGCATATGCTCGGAAGGCGGAAGCACTTTTGGTAGAGATGATTCGACGATCACGGATGGACGGAGAGACGTCATTAGAACCTAGCGTGGTTAGCTGGGGCAGTGTTCTGAGAGCCTACTCGCTTTCGGGAATGCCTGATTGTGGCGAACAAGCCCAACGCATAGTTGACATGCTTGAAGAGTGGTACGAATCYGGCAACACTAATGTACGCCCAAATGTAGTATGTTACACCACTGTCATGTCTGCTTGGGCTCGGGGAAAAGCGCCCGGGAAAGTTGCACTGCAGAAGGCAAATGAAATATTATCAAAGCTCGAAAAGCTCTACGAAGAGACATTGGATGAAAGTTTTCGACCCAACAAAGTAACGTATATCACCGCCATGGATGTCTATTGTCGCAAATGTCCAGATGTTGCTGGTTCTATGTCCCAAAACCTTGTTGATCATATGCTTGAGTTGTACGCAAAAGATATTGGTTACGATCGACCCACCCGCATCGTATTCAATACACTGATCAGCGCTTGGTCAAGAAGTCAGGAACCCAATGCAGCTGAAAATGCAGAGAAAATCTTTGGTTGGCTTGAGTCGGGAGATGAATCTATAAAACCAGATGAAGTAACGCTATGCGCTGTTCTCAATGCTTGGGCAAACAATGCAGTCGATGGAGGAGCTATGAGAGCGCAACAAATTATGGATCATACCGAGAAGTTAACTGCAGAGCAGCGTGGGTTTGATCGTACCATTGTTCCTTGGAATATCCTAATAAAAGCATGGGGCCGAAGCAAAACCGAAGACTCAGTCCAACGGGCGGAAACAATTCTTGTCAATCTCGAAAATCAATATCGAAGCGGAGAATCAAACGTAAAGCCCGATATTACTACGTATTCATCGGTCATCAACTGCTGTGCATATTACACGGGCCCAACAGACGGGAAGACGGCAGCTTTCGAAGTAGCATGGCGTACATTTCACAAAATCAAGCGATCGGATGATCTCGTCGTAAACAATRTTGTATATGGTACTTTGTTCAAGGCAATAGGAAAGCTAACGTCGAGAGGTCAAAAGCAAGAGGATATGATAAAAGATTTGTTCCTAGACTGTTGTCAAGCTGGACAGGTATGCAATTTCGTCCTTGGCCAGGTCCGTACATCGAGTCCCAGGGAACTATTCCGAAGCCTTGTCCCCAAGTMTATTGAGGATCGAGATGCAAGAAATCTTGAGAAAATTTTGAAGAAAATGCCGAAGAAATGGAGTAGGAATGTCGCTTATTGACAACTGAAGAATAACATAGCTTTGAAGACTGACATTTTTCAAGAAGAAACTCTCGACTAAACTCAATGAAAGTTTTCATTGATACTACATTTAGTAATTCCACCGGATGGCTAACTTATTCGACTGCGTCGTCGTTCTTTTCGAGCATCGATTGAACTTCGGCTCGCAGTCGATCCCGTAATTCTTGTTTATTTCCACTGACTTTAAGTCCTCGCGCTTTCAAAACTTCTTTCAACTTTACAACCGTCAACGTATCAATCGGATCTTTGGCATCTGTCGGAACTTCTTCTGCACCTGAACTTTTCGACTTCTCGTCGGTCGAAGTACTACTCGATGATGGTACCTTCATTTTGTCCTTCACTTCTTTTGCTTTCTCTACTGGCACCGTTTTGTGCCATGGTGAAGAGGTATCAAGGAATGGAATCTGCGCTGGGTTTTTCGCGGATTTCACCTCATCTTTTGACACACCATCCCCCATACTAGAAAATGGAACCTGCTCTCCATCCKTATCAGTAATCCATTCTGACCCGTCTGTCTGTTCTGTAACTTCTGTCATCAAGCCAGATTCCTTCATACTGTCGAAAGTAGATTGGGTAAGATTCAAACCAGAAGTGAACATGGTCTTATCGACAAGGTTCATATCAATGTTGTCGATATCGACACCCATACTAGCAGCATATTCACGAACATTCAGCTCTTCTGGTTCGTCATACTTTCGGTACGAAACTTCGTCTTCGTCTTCCTCGTAGACTCCATTCCAATCGTATTCGATGACATCAAAATCATCTTTTGGAGTACGAATCTGCTTTTCGATTGTGACTGTGACCACTCGATGTGGATCGTCCGATCCCTCCTTCTCTTCATCGGTCGCAAGGACCTCGGGATCTGAAATTATCCAATAAGTTCCGTCTAAGACAATCCTCCCTCGTAATTTTCTGCTTGGGTCCAGTAGAATTATTTCTTCTTCCTCTGAACTATCGTCGGATGTCTTTCTCAGTCTCAAATCAATTGAATTGGATTTTGCTTTGAAAGAAATGTCTTTTGCTCTTGTCTCTTTTGGTACTTTCACATTGATTTCTATTTCGAAGCATTCTTCCAGCCACGAATAAGTTGGCGCTATGCCTTTCCCGCTGTACAAAGGTTCGAAACGACGGCGTTGATTTTTCTCAGATATTGATCTTGTAGATTCTTTCCATGTGGCGACGGGGCRGAATGCTGAAACAATGGAGCTCAGAGCTAGAGTAAAGAATAGAGTTGTTTGTGTAAAAATCATCATGACTCTGATGGATGGATTTGTTAAGACCACTTGAGATTATAGAAGTGTGATCGATCTTTTTTTTCTTGCCGTTTTCCTGACTTGGACATCAATTTTGATTGCTTTTGTTTCGCCTTCGATTCGATTCAAAGTCAGTTTTCCTACCGTACCGTGTACGAATTCATATTCATCGAAAATGAACAACTCACACCTCGAAATCATCTGCACGTCTGAGATTATTGGTCGAGGTTTGAAGTGTCGTATTAAGCATTCATGAATAATCTTACAAGCAGAGCTTGATTACGGCTAAGTGGTTTAGCTGGTGGTTGTATGTAGGGTTGTGGTAGTAAAAACGTCCACGTCATGTATTAAGTATATACGATATATACGATTCATATGTTTCATAGACATGTAATATATGTATATTTAAAATGATATGGGCTTATAACCTGTAAAATGTTGATAAGTTCTGTAGTACGTGGTGGTTTGCAATAAAAATGAGGATTATTCACTACCTATTTCGCCGGTACCTCAAATTCACCAAAATAAACAGTAATTTCATTCCTTCAGCACGGGCGTTTGGCCGGCAGCTGAAATTCACCAAAATAAACAGTAATTTATATTAGGGGACGGTATGATTTTTAATAATTTTACAACAGCCTTCGAAAAAAGTTACAGTTTAAATTATTTTCATGCTGAATGTTCCAGTTCTCGTTTTAAGGACCATCGAGAGTACTGGTACCTTACAACAATACATGAAAGAAAATACGGTAGTAAATAGTAAACATAAAAATAGTTCTTGTATATAATTTTTTTTTGAGACTGAATTGTTGATGGAAAGGGGAGTCTGGTTAATGTGTAGGTACAAAACCTGTCGGAAGAAAAGTAATTTCCATGAGGTCGGGGACGATTTTTTCATTCTAAATGGCATCGTATAAGATCCAAACTGTTGCTGTTTATGCCTAGTCGTGCTGCAAGGAACTCAATTTCTGTTTTCGGAAGTATTTTTCGTAGAGCTAGGAGCCATTGTAGAAGAAATGACTCGTTTTGATTGGTGTGCGAATATTGTTCCACACCATTGTTATTTCCATGACTGAAGCACTTGTTTATAAATTTTTTCTTCATTGTGTCGGAGACTTTTTGCACTGTGTCAGACACAATTTTTGTCAGCTGGGTTTGGTTGGAAAATATGGTTGATATGAAAGTGATTGCTTTTATCATATCCATTGCCACCTGTTGAACCACGGAACTATAATCTTGTTGCAGTTGAATAAGAAGTGTGTTAGGGTAAATTTTTTTTTYGTTTTCATAGTCATAGTGACCAAAATATTGTTTTTGGGAAATGCGAAAATTAGTCATGGCCTGTACTGCTATTTTGAGTGCCTCTAGTCCTTCACACCGTATCACTCGTAGATTGGTATTATTTCGGGCCTTTTCCTTGAGGAGAAGATTGGTCTGAAGGAGAACAATGAGAACTTGGAGTCGTAAGGACCGCATCCGCATCAATTTTGTTTCTCTCTTTATTTTTTCAACATTTGATTCTTCGGTTTGTTCATGAAGAGCATGTTCTTTCAAGTCATCATACTCCAGGCATGTTTTCCACCAAGTGTCAGCTTCTCCAGGAGCATTAGTGAGCATACGGTGCAGAAGGATTGAAGGGTGCCTGGAGAGAGCTCTTTTCCATGTTAAAAAGGAGGCGTCCATCCGAGGTCCATCCCAAAGAAGTTTTTCTTGTGTGGTCCCCCATGTCAGTTGCTCCATCCATTTTTTGCATAGACTATCGCTTGGAATTGTGTTATTACTAACCATGGTAGTGTCTATGTAACCAAAAGCATAAAACGGTTGGCTTCCGCTTACTCGATTCCAAAACATGGCCTCTTCTTGGAAAGATATGTTTTGTGGGTCAGGAATGTGATTTGCATTCAGGGTGTCTGATTCTAGGAGTTCTGTAGCTTTGTTAGTTATGGAACCTTTGATGTGGTTTGGTTCACTAAGATGAATTGTTTTTTTTTTCTTATTTTGAAAGCCGGGAAACAATGGTTCTGTATTCTGGTTGCAATTTTCCAAGATTATATCATCGTCGTTTTCAACCATTTTCACTACCTCATAGGAAAACATATGGTTATTGATTGACAAGACGTCCCCGTGTTGAATCTCAATTTCCTGGTTTTGGCGAATCATAATGGGTTCAGTGGATGCGTTTAAAGAATATATATGAATCGGAATCTCTTTTATCATTTTTTTATGCTTTGGCAATGGCCGTGATATTGTAATGCTGTGAGACGTGACATTTGTCACCTCAAGAAGTTTTCGTGAAATATTCTTTGGATATATTCCCATTTCCTTGGGATAACCTCTTCCAATTATCATTCCTTTTCGGATGGTTATGAGATCACCCTCTAGGTATGACTGTTCGGTATTTCCACGGTTGATCCTCCTTTGGAGTTTAAGTAGGTTGTCAATGGTTGGTGGATTTGATTTATTCATTGATGGCAGGATATGTTTCTAGTGTTAGACTTTGTAACATGGGAAAAAGTAAACTCTGGAACTGTAGATAAGGGTATACAATGTAATCCCACRGTTTGGTGGGGTTCGATAATGGTTGAGGCAGCATTCATTACGGCAATGTCTTCGGTGTGGGATTCAGGAAAGCAAACTGTGTGTGAGTGATAAGGTTTATGGTGGTTCATTTGTGATTAAAAATGCTTCTTCTTGGTCCCGGTTTTGGTTACGTCTTGGTTTTTCTTCGAAAACCCAACATTGGACACAACCAACTTTGGTTCAGGTGAACCTGTCACAGAACCTCGAAACAGTAAACTCTATTTTGACTCCACGCAAAACACACGCACAATATTAGAAATCAAAATTGAAATCTAATAATGTGCGTGTTAATATGCAGGAGGTACAGAACAAAAAATTAGGTACGGGTACTATTTGTTTATTCCCATGACACCCCTGTGTTCCCCCACGGGGGAACTCCCCGTGTTAACACAATAGAAAACCCGACATTGGAGACAAGAAACTTCGGTTCAGGTGAACCGGGAAACAGTAAATTGTTTTTTGACTACCGGCAAAACACACGCACAAAATCAGAAATCAAAATTGAAATGTAATAATGTGCATGTTAATATGCAGGAGGCACAAAACGCAAAATTAGGTACGGGTACTATTTTTTTATTCCCATGGGTGCCGAAGGGGAACTCCAGTACACGCAAAACACACGCACAATATTAGAAATCAAAATTGAAATCTCATAATGTGCGTGTTAATATGCAGGAGTCACAGGATGAAAAATTAGGCACGGGTACTAAATTTTTATTCCCATGACACCCCTGTGTTCCCCCAAGGTGGAACTCCCCGTGTTAAGATGATGGAAAACCCGACATTGGAGACAATCAACTTCGGTTCAGGTGAACCGGGAAACACTCAATTCTATTTTGACTACCGGCAAAACACACGCAGAAAATCAGAAATCWAAATTGAAATCTTATAATGTTCGTGTTAATATGCAGGAGGCACAGGATGAAAAATTAGGTACRGGTACTATTTTTTTATTCCCACGACACCCCTGTGTTCCCCCAAGGGGGAACTCCCCGTGTTAACTTGATGGAAAATCCGACATTGGAGACAATCAAGTTCGGTTTAGGAGAACCGGGAAACAATCAATTCTATTTTGACTACACGCAAAACCCACGCACAATATTAGAAATCAAAATTGAAATGTGATAATGCGCGTGTTAATATGCAGGAGGCACAGGATGAAAAATTAGGTACGGTTACTATTTTTTTATTCCCAAGACACCCCTGTGTTCCCCCAAGGGGGAACTCCCCGTGTTAASATGATGGAAAACCCGACATTGGAGACAAKAAACTTCGGTTCAGGTGAACCGGGAAACAATCAATTCTATTTTGACTACACGTAAAACACACGCACAATATCAGAAATCAAAATTGAAATCTGATAATGTGCGTGTTAATATGCAGGAGGCACAGAACAAAAAATTAGGTACTCGTACTATTTTTTTATTCCCATGACACCCCTGTGTTCCCCCAAGGGGGAACTTCCCGTGTGAACATAATTACCAGATTGTCATCGTGCTGACACTAAGAATYGTAGACAGCATCACATTAGCTAGTAGTAGTTAGAAAAAAATCTTCATCTACTAGTACTAAAGTTGAACAAGCTACACCAGTTGAAGCTTCAGTTGATACTGCTGCTGATACTGCAGAAAACCCAACATTGGAGACAATCAAGTTCGGTTTAGGAGAACTGGGAAACAATAAATTCTATTTTGACTACACGCAAAACACACGCACAATATTAGAAATAAAAATTGAAATCTAATAATGTGCGTGTTAATATGCAGGAGGGACAGAACAAAAAATTAGGTACTCGTACTATTTTTTTACTAACATATACCGCTACCTRTCATATCATTTCTTGAAACCTACCATTTCTGACAATTCCTAATTCCTATGTGATCCTACCGATCCTGTCTTAAAAAATCTACCGAAAGCATGCGATCGCGGCAATGAAATGATTGATTCCCTGTGCTGTCTCGTCCAAGCGTCCAGCAAACGATGATTACGCGTCTTTTCTATTTCTTCCGACTCTTATTCATTGTCGGCTTTATTTCTATTTCTTCCGACTCTTATTCATTGTCGGCTTTATTTCTATTTCTTCCGACTCTTAGTGTACCGCATTTCTTTTTCTGAGACCTCCTTTTCCTGCTCCTGTCCTGATGAAGTTGTCCCTTGCAAACATCTTCTCTTTCTGTGTTCTCTTTTCAGACATTTTAAAATCACCGGTAACGTTCTCAGAATCAATATTTCCGATCTCGTGATGGGCTTGCGACTGTTGCACCCCTCGCTTCATCTAAATCCCCTTTCAAACAAAATGTGCTTACGGCAGATTAGAGGTGAATGTGATATCTGTTCGTCTTCATTGCCCACTTCTGACGTCCTTGTATGCAACCTCTGCTCAGGACTGTTCCACTGTGAACATTTACAACAAACAAATAAATGTCSAACATGCGGACAGTTTTGGAGTCCATATCTATCGGATTTCATCGGGAGATATTGCAATTTATCCCAATTTTTGACCCGAACTTCGTACAGGCACACACACAAGAATCAACCCCCGTCTCCAGTAACAACAGTACCATCGGTGAACACAAATTCTGCCGAATTTACTTTTAAACAATCCCCAACTACGGATCTTTCTCT